CTGTCGGTTGTCTAATAACAACAAGTGAAACAGCATCAACAGTGTTAGATGCACTTGAGCTATACTAGTCTTTAATTTGTGAGAATTCTTTTAAGGGTCGAGGACAGCGAGGACCTATGATCATCATGACCGACGATTGTGAGGCAGAGAGGACGGCTTTGGCTAACGCTTTTCCAGAAGCTAACATCATTTTATGTTGTTTTCATGTTCTACAAGCCCTGTGGAGGTGGCTGTGGATGGGCAAGAATAGAATTGCTTCCACTGACAGGCAACATCTGTTCTTTTTAGTGAAGTCAATGGTGTATGCCGATACTGTTGAAAATCTTGATCACTGCTTTCAAGAAGCAACAGCAGATCCCAAAGTCCAAAAATACCCAAACTTCTTAAAGCATGTTAACAAGATATATGACAGACGTGAAGAATGGGCTACCTGCTACCGAGCAAACATTCCAGTTCGTGGAAACAACACCAACAATTTTTGTGAGGCAGCCATGGGAGTCCTAAAGGACAAAGTCCTGATACGTACAAAGGCATTCAACATCTTACAATTATTGGATTTCATTTTCACCAGGTTAGAAACTTACTATGAGCGGAAGATCATCGACATAGCCAACAACCGTCTGGATGTTGTTAAGATGTCTCGTTTCATGCCAACTGACCCTAAAATTGAAAACATTATTCAGATAAGCGACTCGGAGTTTCTAGTATCAAGTGAGACAAACCAAGATCAGACATATACAGTTAATATTACTGTATCAATGTGTACTTGCCATGTTGGGTGCAGAGGAGCACCATGCAAACACCAAGCAGCTGTGGTTAAGAGGTACAACATACAATCCTGCAACTTCTTACCAATAAGACATCCACAAAAAAGACAGCAATTGCATTATGTGGCAACTGGCCAACATCTACAGCTATCCTGGTTTGCTACATTGAGTGATGTACCAGAAGAAGACAGAGATGCAGCCTGCTTGGAAGCGACCGAAGAATGTATTCTTGATGCTAGTGTAGAGGAAGTGAGCAGTGCTAGGGAAGAGAGCAGAAGTGCTAGTGTAGAAGAAATTATTGATAAGAGTACTCAGCATGCTGCATTATTAGATGAATATCATTCTGTTTGCCAGGATATTGAATCTACAATAAGGTTACGATTACAAACAGATGCTACATTTATTCCTGCTGTACAGGCCTTCATTGATGGTGCTAAACAACTGAAAAATGACTCATCATTGCTTTCAGCATTATCCACCTTTGGTAGATACTCCGGTCACAAAGTCAGAAATGGGAAGCGAAACCAGTTGGCCGGTTTAAAGAGAATTGGCGTTCAACCCACGGCAGTGGCAAGGAGAAAAAAGTTGCATGTCGGAGGTAGGAAGTGTGATCAACGTGGAAGGCCTTGTGCAAGTAGCAGACATGTTACAAGCAAGGCTTCATTATTGCCTTCTGTCCTGCCTAAGAAAACACGAAGACCAGCTCCACATAACATGAAAGTGTGTGTTGCAAAAAACACTGGTTTAGGAAAGACACATGGCAAGAAGTAAACTCTATAATGATGATCAAATTTACATCAAAACACGTTATATTTTTTTTTTTTTAAGTAATTCAAAGCCCCAACGCAACTTTGTTTTACAAACTTTGATTTTGCTTTTTCGAGAAATGACTTAGTATTACACTACTGTAAATATAACATAAGCCAGTGATCACCCATTTATCTGTGAACATTTAGGATTCTCCTGAAGGGTGCAGTAGCATTGTCAGGCACACAGAGTTGTCATTTTCCCACACAGAAGCATTGTCTTAATTAGTTTTAAATTCTATAGACTGATGAAAATGTGTGCTTTGTGTCATCAGTCTTACTAACAGCATACTATTATCCACTGAACAGTTTGCCTTGCTAAATTTCAGTTACATGTTGCATAGATAGTTAAATTATTGC